CGTACTGGCAAAATTTATTAATTACATGCAATTTATCATATAATAATTTTATCGAGCACACGTGATACCTTAAATTGTAAGGATTACCCACCCCAGATTCATCAGCCTATAGCTCTGTATAAAGCAATTCATATTTGATCTCATTCTTAGTTCTTCTAAATCCAACATGCTTTCATCATTCTTTTCATCCAATAACAATGCTTTAATATCACTTTCTGTCACACCCAATCTAACCCCCTGGTAGATTCAATCGTGGTGCGACAAAGACTAAAAATATGTCAGGCCAACTCTCACCAGCACTCATCTGATTTTTATAATTAAAACCCAGTGGCTAATGAATTAGTTTAACTGGATCGCCGCAACATACATGATACATTGCATTTTAATTACATATTCGAAAACATCAAAATTAAATCTTCTAAAACATGAAAACAATACAGAACTACTAAATTCAAAACAATAAAAATACATACCCAGAACTTATGTACAATGCTCCCAAAACAATCATGCAAAAATTGTACAAATATACCTTGCTACGCACCCCGGTGCTCGTTGCCCTAGCCGAAAGGCAACAACGAAGAATGAAGAACAACTAGCTCAAAGAAATAATCAAAGCTAAAATGAGATTTTAAACATGAAAAAAGTAACGTATATACCCGTATGAAACTATGCATGTTCACATACAATCAAAACATGCTAGCATAATAGAAAACATGAAAATATAGCAGACACAGACGGTATAAAAATCAAATATAGTGTAACATTTAGGTCGTAAGCATGAAACCTTAAGCATAAGCATGTTCATTCATTTCAAAGAGATCATATCATATCATAATCATATCATAATAATGTCACTTGTTTAATGTATAGGGTTCAACTATTTTCATGTTCTTTCATCATGGGTCGTCACCCTACCCCAAAACTTATATAAACTTCGATAAAGATTGAGCATCCAACAACATAGCAGTTATCCACAGCCCTATGATACTCATAGTTTTCTAACATTTTGTCACCGTCTGTTTTTAATCGTTTCAGAGTTTTTTCCTTGTATAAATATCTGAATTCGGAAATACATCTCTGCAAAATGTATTTGGAAGCGCTCATGTAATAATCTTATCCCTTAACATTCATTGTAACATTTTTGTACCAACATTCATCAAACATTTCATAAAGCATAATTCCTGCAAGCAGGTATTTCATATCTCATAAACATGAATCATAACAGAATGAATATCTATAAGCAATCAGTGTCATGCATAATCATTTGGATCATAAAATAGCATAGAACCACGTGTAGCATAATAAAAGTCAACTTGAATTCATAAATTAATTACATGTATTCATTTACAATATGTCAGAATTCCTAAATGCATTAATTTCAAACTAGAAATCATATGAAACCTATAAAAAAATATTTTTCTTAATTTAGCACAATTTTTTCATCTGATTAGACTGAGCAACTCTACAATGAGTTTATATATGCTCGCCTCATATACACAACCTGGAGAATGTAGAAATCATATAAATTCATAAAATTCGGGTTCATAATATGAATTAACCCAAAATATAACTTATTTGCCCAAAAAATTTCTCAAATGGGCTTCCCGACATAAAACGCCCTTCCAAAACCACCAATTCTCTCAACTCCTAATGCCTTAATCTTCACTTTCAGCTTGCTAATTTCGTGCTAAAACTCAAATTGAAGCTTTCAATGTGCTTTCGACGCTTACGACACGAGATCGGCGCCTCCGACGGCTACCGGAAACAAGAAAAGCATGAAAAATGAGGCAAATGTCAAAAGTGGAAGTAAGAGGAAGGAAATGAACGCTTAGAATGGCAAGAGAGAGGAATTCATATTTACAAAAATCATGTTGAAGCCCTAAATCACAAGCTGCCCCACTCAGGTAGCTGCTCGGTTCGCAGCGTGCTCACCCCTTGCACTGTAGCAAGGGTTGCAACTTGCTATAGGGGGGCGAACGAATAGGGAGGGGAAGGCCAGGGAAAGAAGAGAAAAGAAGAAATAGGGAGAGAGAAAGAGAAATGAGATGCTTTCAAGCTTTATAAGACCACAAGAATGAATTTAAAGTGGCGTAAGGTTGGTGGGCTACAGTGCAGAGGATTAAGGAAGGGATTAATAAACATAATTAAGATTTAATTAGGTTAATAAACATATAACTTCTAACTTTTATATTTCTCAAACCATGCATAATTTACATACAATATTTTATATCGATTTGATCGGTTTCATGCGTAGAAATTAATAAATTTGATTCGATCAAATTCCGAGAGATGTAAATTTTGGGGTGTTTCTAAATTCTGTTGAACTTTACCTGGTATTATGAAATTTAAGCGATACATCCTCCCTACAGCTTCCTGCAGACTGCAGCCGCCACCACCTCTCTCCCGCATCAGCAGCAGCCTTCCGACCACCCCTACCTGCTGCTCATCTCCTTCCTCGAGTGGGTCGCGCCTTTCTTTACAGCTTCTTGCAAGTTGCAGCCCCCACTGCCTCTCTCCTGCATCAACAGCAGCCTTCCGGCTACCTCTACATGCTGCTCATCTCCCTCCTCCAGCAGGTCATGCCTCCTTCCAGCAGCTTCCCTGCAGACCGTAGCCACCGTTGCCCTTCCAAGATCCCTCAAACTGCGCTTCGACACCCTACCATCGCTGATTTGTTGCCCTTACCTTGCACAGTGGCAAGACACCTCTCTGACCTTCACCGCTGCCACCATGCACCACTGCCTGGGCTCCCTCTTCAAGCTTGTTGCTTCTTCTTTTGTCGAACCTTCATTTAGAATTCTTTGTTTTACGTTTTAGGCTTGATGGCTAACACCTTTCCTACCATAAGAAAGCATTCTTCGTAGGCTTGAAGGCTACTAGTTTGACTCTCCTGTCAGGAGGAGCATATTTATACTTAAAGACTCATTCTACTATATGGAGTTACTCAATAAACTCGTCTGGATTCACATGACTATCAAAATATGACAAGTCAATCTTTACTCCAAAATTCAGATTTCTCGCCTGAAATTTTATGTCAAATCATTAGGGTATTGGTTCTTCTTCACTGAAAACTCCCTTATGAAAGTGATTCATTTTCTCCTCTCGATCTGGTCAGTTATCACTGTGGCTACGGGTGACCTTACCGAGTTGTCTTCTCTTAAAGGTTGCAAGTCTTTGTTGCAGTTGGAGGATTTCTCTCTACATATCCTCCATACCAAGCTCCTAGACATCTTTTTGTGTTTCTCCTAGGCAACATTGTGACATTCTCTCTAGATTAGGTTTTAAATAGTTGTGGGATTACAAATGAAAGATTGGTCGGAGGCTTAAGAGTTTTGGTGGCAAATGTCGGGTGAATTTTGGTGAAGCCAAATATGTTGAATTTTGAAAATTTAGGATTGAGGATAGAAATTAAACTCGAAATGATTTAGGAAAAAAAAAAATTTGGTGGGGGTCTTAGGTTAGGTTACATGGAATCTTGATGTAGGTGTAGGAATGACATCCATAAAAAAATATTTAGGGTTTGTCAAGCTTTGGTACCAGATGAAATCATTTTAGGGCTTCTAGAAGATATTCAGGAGGTCGGTTTAGAGGGGAGGTGGTTGTGGAATGGCAAAGAAAATATAAGATACAAGTTCAACAGCAAAGTAGAGATAGGCGTTGATCGGCGACATTTTGATTGAGATAAGCAATGAAATTTGCTATAAGAGAACAAAATCGAGTGGTTCAGTCGTTGTCCAAACGAATGACAGCAATCAAGAAGCGATGCGCAAGAAATGAGTAGCAAGAAGGATCCACCACCAATTCCTAAGCAAGATTTAGATACACAATGATACAGCACTTCGAAAAACATAACATAGAAAAATCTCTCATATTCATAAAATAAACAAAACTAAAAATTCAAAATCCTAATACAAATAATAAAAAAGTCACAAATAAAAAAGGGTTTCACCTGTCTTTATTCCACATGGCTTTATTTACTATTTCCTAAAATAAGGAAATAGGAAATAAATACATGTGAAATAAAGAAATAAAAAATAAATAAATAAGAAGAAAACATGCTACAATTAAAGATTCGACAACCCTATCTCGAGTCTTAAATTGCACCTATTTGTGATCCCACATTTCAATAGGATTCTACGACATTATAGTTTATCTGGTTCTAGTGTTCACGTCAACATGCTTCCTAGATAGTTACATAAGGTGCAAAAAAATTACTTTATCATGAAGATAATATCTGAAAAATGTCATGTAAACTTTGAAAATTATGTTAAAAATGTAATGGAATACAATCCAATTTTTTAGTACTTTGCACCTTTTATTGACATATGCTTGCAATGACGCTAATTACCCTATACTTAGCCCTAAGAAAAATCTAAACTTTATAAGAAGTCGTGGTATGATAAAAGACCTCGGCTTAGGTAGGTTGGTCGTTATTCAAAGAGTACAGCTACACATTAATGTATCTTATGGCCAATAGCTCTTCTGACAGAATAATAACTTCCAAGAAAGAAGCAGAAATAGAAGAGGATGTGAAAATACAAAATGCCCCTTGAGAATTTAAACAATCTATCATCAATAAACTTTATCCATTTTAAATCTTGAATAATACTTTTGAGAAAAGGACACAGGAACCAATGCCATCATCAGAAGTAACTTTACGCATTTCGAACCAGGCTAGTTTAATCTATATTCTGATAATCATAAAGATTAAACTCACAAATAATTTTGTGTCCTATTCCAAATACCTATTGTGTGTATCAACATAAACTTACATTTTTTACCCAAAACTTCAATTTCAAACAAAAGAAATCAAGAATGATAGTCCCCATGGTAGATTAACTTTTGTTTTAAAATATAAATGTTGTCTCAGAACACCAAATATTCATAAACAAAGTATGATTGTAATGAGATATACTTTTCTTTGGCAAAAAAAATTAGAATCGAATGAGCAATAACAAGAATATCTGATAATTACACAGTCAACACAGCTCCATACTCACATTTCTGTTGTCACTCCCTCCTCAATCTTGATAATCTAAGGGGAAAAGAGAAACAATGGAGAGAATAAAAAAGCATGTAAAGTGAGTAATGAACTAAAAATAGTGCTTATAATCAATTATGTCAAATCCAAAGATATAACTAGCAAATACTAGAGAAAAAGAGTAAAATGTAGAAGAGACTGCTGAAAAAAAAGTACCTTCAGAAGTTTAGTTAGAATGAAGCACAGAACAGAGGAGAAAAGCATATGCAGCAGAGTCAATGCCACAGGATAAGGGAAGTTGATCTCCTTCGAAGACAAAACCCACTACAGTAATTGTTCACAAGTCAGGTTAATAATTTTCAAAATTCTTCTCAAAAACAAAGAGGGCAATGTTATCAGGGAAAAAAAAAATCCTAGAATTAATTGTTTCCACTCTAAGTCCCCTATGCAACTCTCAAGAAATGAGAGCTTATGCCTTGCATAAAAATTAAACTCTAAAATGGATTGAATTTTAATTTGACTACCAAGTCTCTAACATGATTCCCCCAGGGCAAAGTCATCTGATCAGAAGTCACTTACAGGTTCTTTGGTGCCTATTTTAGGCATCCATTAAGCAAGTTTTAGCTTAAATCTTATATATTAGAAAATTTTGGACCTTAAATCCAACCATTTTAAAATCTTGTTTTGGCCATGTTAATGGTTAAATGCCATCATTTACCCGATTTAACAAATTTAATGATTTTCTCTCAAAAATCTTAATCATTAAACAAATAATCAAATAGTTTATCAAGATTTACCAAGATTTAACAGGTATGACAAAAAATTTAAACTTGTAATTGGCGCAGGAACTTCCCCGAATCGCAACACTGTAGCTGCTACAGTAACCGCGGTCCAACCCTTCTCTTTCCTTTTCCCTCCTAATATTTCTTGTATTTTCCATGAAATCACCTATTATAAACCCTTCCCTATTATATTACTTCATTTTTATTATATTTACTAATTTAAAACATTGTCTAATATAAGTCCTAATCCCTCTTATATATAAGGGCTGTTTTTGCTTAGGAAATGAGGTTTTGATGATTACTGATTCAGTTACTGCCCTTGAGGCGTTCTTCCCCTTCGGGAGTTATAACCGACAGTGAGAAGATGCTCCGGCTCTAACTCGTCTGAGATGGTGACCATCTCCAAGGATTCCGATGGTGCTCATTTTATTATTTTGTGACCCTCCGAACCTCCTCCTACTACTAGCTGCCCCGTCCTACCACCTACCAGCTTGATGCCCTCACTGTCGAACTCTCTCCCGTCCTTCCAGAATCTGCCATAAGCCCTCCCAACCAATCCAGACTTGACAACAACCCTCCCAAGCCTTCCCACATTCTATTGTAGTCGTCTTCAGCTCTTCCCAATGTTGTAGTAGCCCATCCCAAGCAGCCCAGCAGCTGCCACAAGCCCTCTATTAGATCTATCTGCTACAGCAACCCTTATTGGAGTTTGTGTCATGTCTTTATGTTTGAGTTGTTGTTTTATTATCGTTATTTCATGTTTTCAAATCCCATGCATGTAATCCTTTCAATTTAAGCACTAATATTTACTTTTTATTGTGGTTTAGGTTTCCTCCGGCATCATTTGGCATCAAAACTAGCCCAAACCTAGTCCTATCCTAGGGTCAATAACATTTGCCCCTACCTAAGCTACCCCCACCAAAAATTTTCTGCCCTAAAAACCTCGGCGGATGAGGTCAAAGCTCCCCCAACCCTAATAGATTGACATGAGAGCTTCCCTGGATCATAACATTGTAGTTGCTATAGTGTCGTGAACGCGTTACTGTAGCTACTACAGTAACCGCGGTCCAACCCTTATCCCCCATTCTCTTTCCTTTTCTCTCAAAATATTTCTTTCCTTTTCCATGAAATCTCATATTATAAATAATTGTCGATTATATTAATTCATTTTTTATTTTATTTCCTAATTGAAAGTATTGCGTAATATAAGTCCTAATCTCTCTTATATATAGGGGTTATTTTTGCTTAGGAAATGAGGTTTTGATGATTATTGATTTCAGTTATTGCCCTTGAAGCGTTCTTCCCCTTCGGGGGCTATACCCGACGACAAGAAGGTGCTCCTAAGGTAACTCATCCGAGGTAGTGACCGTCAACAAGGGTTCAAGTAGTGCTCTGAATGTAGCTCAACCCCAACGAGATATTATATTTCTGCAACCCTCCGGCCCTCTTCCTGCTGCTAGCCGCCCCGTCCTACCACCTGCCAGCTTGTTGCCTTCACTGTCGAACTCCCTCCAGCCCTTCCAGAACCTGCCATACGCCTTCCAACCCATCCAGACCTGATCGCAACCCTCCCAGACCTTCCCCCATCCTACTGTAGCTGTCTCTAGCTCTTCTTAACGCTACACCAGCCCATCCTAAGAAGCCCAGCAGCTGTCGTAGTCCCTCCATCAGATCAACCTGCTACCGTAACCCTTATTGGAGTTTCTGTTGCATCTTTATGTTTGTGTTTGTGTTTTTGTTTTATTATCGTTATTTTATGTTTTTAAGAGTTGTGCCTGGAATCCTTTCAATTTTAGCATATTTTTTTCGTTGAGGTTTAGGTTTCCTCCGATATCAGTAATACTTCCAAAATAGTCTAAATCTAGATTTACATAAATCTACTTGTTGAATCATAATCTGTCTGGTAGACAGTGCCTGAGGAATAGAGCGTTAAACCGAGGAAAGAAGGAGAGAGGGAGAGGAAGAGAGAAATAAAGAGAGAAGAAAGATGAAGACTTCGCCTGTCGGGGGGAAATGGAGTGTCCCAGGGGCTCTCCAACCCATCTTATTTCATAAAGTCGTTCATTACAAGTGAGGGGAGCCCAAAGGTCCTCCATACCATATGACCCTCATATTTATAGAAGAAAAGAGGGGCAAAAAAAATAAATAAAATTACATGTATAGTCTTGCATTAAAGAGAATAACAAAGAGCATACTAGCCCCCTGATCTTAGACCGTCAAATTGTCTTGAGATCCGTGCAGACCATTTTTTAGTATATATATTAAGTTCCCTAATTTTCATACTACTTAATAGTGACAAAGAAAATAAAAATAAGGAAATTTATAAATCAAATAAATTTTGAACACATAATTTGCTAATGATATTCCCTGCTAGGCGCTTTTTGGGCTCGGTTCTGGTATATTTACTATTATCTGTTGGATTTGTCATTCTGGTGCTTTTTCTATCGAAGGAGTCGTCAGATTCTGGTGGCTGGTCGGAGGAAAAGGACGACCATGTATGAAGAAAATCATTCGTCTGAGTTCTTTGTTCATTTGCCTATTTTGGGGAAGAGTTTTAGAATTGCTCGCTCTAAAGTGGAGTCATAGAGTTGTTTCCCCTAGAGAGGAGTCTAGGAGCTATTCGCCCCGGAGTGCAGTCCTGGAGCTCTGCACCCCTCGCGAAGCTCGTCGTTGTCGGGTGTTAGATTTTTTTTTTTGCACCTCTCGTAGAGTTTGTCGCTGCTGTGTGTTAGATTTTCTTTGCACCCCGCGCGGAGCTTGTCGCTTTCGGGTGTTAGATTTTTAGATAAGCCGAGGACAATCGTTTTACACCCCTGACAGATCTTGTTGATGTCAAATGTTAGATTTTTTACACCCCTCGCAAAACTTGTCGCTGCAGTGTTAGATTTTTTTTTACATTCCTAGCACAGCTTGTCGCTATCGAGTGTTAGATTTTGTTTTAACGATCGTTTCACACCCCCGCTGAGCTTGACACTATCAGGTGTTAGATTTTTTTTTACATTCCTCGTTGAGTTTGTCGTTGTCAGTTGGCAAATCATCTCAAAGCCTTTATTACCGATCGGACATCTATGACGTCGTTGTCAGTTGTGCTATCATGATTTGAGTTCCCTAAGTATCGGGTGGATTTTCGAATGCTTGAACCCCCGAACCCCTTGACCTTAATTAAGAAAATGTATTCCAGGTTGGAACATGAACAAATACTTGAGAAATAATTAGTTGGGCGTAGCTAGAAGGATCAGTCCAAAGGGGAATTGCAATAAAAGAATTATGTTCCCAAGAATAAGGTTGTCGACTAGGAGATGTCGATGGAAACAAAAGAGTGCTTTAGGATGGCTCGGGATGGTTATATATATACAGTGAGCATCAAAATTGCAATATCCAGTTAAATAAAATCCATATTCTATAGTTTTTTTAACGAAGAGGATAGTCAAAGTCATTAAATTGAACTCCACAGGTGATTCTAACGCTATCTTTAAGGTGATGAAATATGCATGAACGCCCAAATTTGCATACACCGGCCGTTACATAGAACAAAAATTTAGGTCGCCCTATTCTCTTAGGAAAAATATCATATATTCCACAATTTGTTTATTGTTTGGAGCGCAAAATAATTTAGTGATATGTAAAGATGTAAATATGTAAGAATTGAGTGGTATGTAGAAAATTTCCCCCTGATTTAAGTGGTCGGATGACTAAGGCGGCCGATCGCTCGAAGAAAGATCAGCCTGGGAGCAACTGGCCGGTTGACAAATGCAAGGCATGGCGTTTCATTCAATCGACAGAGAGGTCTAAGCTTCGACGCATACTTATGCGCAGTGGTACCAGAGGAGCTTCACGACTGCGATAGTACCACCATTTTGTCGGTGCCTCAGGCGGAGCATGGACAGTTGTTTCGACAGTCATAAAACCTCTGATAGAGTCCTGCCATTCACCCAAAGATCTCACAACAAGCGGAGATCACTCCCATCCCCAATAGAGTAGGACAGAATAATACTTATACTCCAAGGCCAAATAGTTAATACTTTTCTAGAGAAATGTGGCGTAAGCTAGTTTAAGTATCCAGGGGAAATGATATTTGCATTTAACCACCAGAGCCTAAAAATCCTTTATAATGCCCCACCAACTCTGGATGACGATTTAAGATTTCTATTGAATACATGGAGGAAGGGAGGTCTAGCAATGATTTGATGAGTGAAATGTTGCTTAACCGTATACCATAGAGGGATGAGATGGTCGACAATGACCTTCTACACGTTGAATCTTGAGTGAAGAGAGGCATTCCAGGAGGAAAGGAGAGACTTGAGGGATTTGAGTGATATAAAGCTCAACATATGAGGGGATGAGCTAACTTGCCCAAACCATTCCTCCGCATCAATTGCAAGAGAATCCAGCACGTCATTTTAATGAATTATCAGTTTTTTTAAGGAGGCAATACTTCCCATTAGCAACTAGAATGGAACACTTATAACATGTTCAATGAGGGCGAGCTGGAATTTCTTAGTGCTTCAAGTCTTACACCCGCCAAAAGAAGAGATGCGGCGTTTAGACACAAGAGGACCTCTAACATTTCAAGAGGAATGGATTTTGAAATGCCGCAACAAATGTTGGTACCTTGCTTGTAGTTCAAATTTTTCCACCCAATAATTTTGTATCTTTATTTTCTTGAGCTTAAGAGGCAACTTCTGCAGTTTTTTGTCCATTAGCGAGGAAAAGTCCAGTTAAGCAAGGCCAGAAACAGTCATCTTTTGTTGCTTTTACTGCTCAAACAAATCCTCCATATTTCTAACTCCTTTCTGATTTGAGACGGCCGACCAGAGACAGGTAGTCGAATGGAGGCACCTGGAGCAATCGGTTGGGCAGCGGTTTGTCGACCGGGGAATAGTTTGGTCGGTAGCAGCCACCCATTCCAGGATAATATCTTCCATTCTCCTGTCGGTGCAATCAAAAAATACAGGACCGATTTGTTTCCATCACATATTTCCTGAGTACAATTTTCATGGTGTACATCCTGCAAGATGCCAACTGGAAGTTGTTGGTCGGACGGAGGGTGATTAAAATAGTGGTCCATCGGACGGCGGGTTGTCAGTCAGAGGGTAATTTGCTGGGAACAAATGAATTTAGTGGCATGCAGGTAAATATACAAATGTATTGCAATGTATGTAAATATTCCCTCTTTTGGGATGGCCTGTGGGAGGCAGGTGTCTAGTTCGGAGGAGTCTGGAGCAGTCGGTCGGACAATAGGTTGCCTGTCGAGGGTTAGTTTGCTAGGAGAATAGATTGAGCAATATGAACATATAAATATATAAGAATTGAGCGGTGTTTATATGTTATACATGTCGATCTTCCCTAATTTGAGATTGTAGGACGGAGGCATACAGCTGGCTGAAGCTAGGTGACCGGTCGGAAGCAAGTGCTCGGCCGATAAAGGAGGGGGGACTTGCTGGAAGCGCAAAAGAACTGAGTAATGTGCATGTAAATATGTCTTTATAAGAATTAAATAGTATGGATGTAAAAAAAAAAAAACACACACACACACACACACACACACACACATATAT